CATTGTTGTTTGGCGGGCCTGGGCTGGATTTGAACCCACCACCTTAGGTGTATGTGGCTGGTGCCTTAGCCACTTGAGCCACAGGCGCCAAGCCCACCAATTCCACTTTGGTCTGTTCCCCTTCCCTGCACTGGCTTAGGATAATAATCATTTAAAAATCATTTTTATTTGCCATGTAAGACTCCATTTTGTTTCTATACCCTAATTTACTAAGCATTCCGGAATGTTTGTTTCCTGATGAATTTCAAGTTTTCTTTTTTCTCACTGGATAATTAGTTTTGATTTAGACAATGCTCCAGGTTTGTCCTATTTTAAAAGTAGCTCATGTATATGTATCATTCCTTCCGAGGCTGATGAAGTAGTTTTGTTTAGTGCCGTGTCAAGATTCCTCCTTATCTGGAAGTGCCCTTTCCACGGGAGTAAATACCCTCTAGTCACGCAGTGGTTCTCAACCTTCCCAATGCTGCGACCCTTTAATATAGTTTTTTTTTTTAAATTCCAAATTAATATAGTTCTTGTGGGTCATGACCCACAGATTGAGAACCACTGTTCTAGTGAGATCTATGGTTTCTAATCCAGCCACATATTTAAACACGAGTCAACTAAAGTGAGATAAAATTAAAAATTATTTTCCTCTGTTGCACTAGCCATATTTCAAGTGCACAGCAGCAACACGAAGTTAGTCCTACTGAATTGGGCAGCACAAATACAGAAGATTTCTGTGATATGTATGCATTGTGTGTCAGTGCTGTTCTGGACTCTTTTTGGCCCTGACCGCTTGCCCATTGCTGAATTAGATTCTATGAGTCACTCCTAGATAAAATTAAGTCCCAGCAGACAGGCCCATGAACTATATTCACAAGAGAATTCTGTATACCCTAGATCATTAGTCTCCTAATTTATAATTTGGAAAAATCTCTTCCAGTGACTGGAATACTCCGGTCCACTATTTCCTAATTCAGTCTCCAGAACACAAATTAGTAGCCTTCTGTTTCTTGGTGATGGTCACCTAATTCCAGTCGGGTCAATTACATTTCTTCCCATTTCCCTTAGTAATTTTAGAACTGGGAAGGGGAGGTTCAGCTCCTGTGGTTGTCTAGAATTTTAAAACCAAAAGCAATAGTTTATATTTCACTATATAAAATGGGTGGGTGGGTGGATAAAATAACAGAAAGGAAAATCAGGTGGGTAAGCAGAGATTAGGCTCCCTCCCAGGTTTTGGTTTAGGTCCCTCCCTTGGCCTCAGTTGCATTGCTGACCGTGGGTCCCAGTCCCATGAGAAAAATCTGCATTCTAATAGTCAATTGTATGCTTATACCAGCTTGAAATGCCATTTCACTGTGCCCCCAGATTCCCCCTTTACCCTTTCTCTACTTTTCCTCTTGCCTATCTTCTTCTTATTTTAAGAGAGCACTTTGAGTATCCTTTGCTTTGTCCCCCTCCCAATCAAAATATGCCCTCAATCTTTCTGGGTATGAAAGTTTTATCAAATCGGATCTAGCAACACATTAACAACTGTTTTTATTCTTTAGAGCTTATTGCATTTTTAACCTCTCGGGCCTAAGTAATTCAGTCAACATTCATTTCATGTATGACTGAATAAATAATCCCTCCTAGGCCAAAACAGTGACTTCTGGTTGTGAGAACCTGGCACACATAGAACTGAGTGCAGTACTTACCCAGGTCCCAGCACGCTACTCCCGAAGCAGAGATTGGGAGAGATTTCTTACAGTACTAAAAGATGAGTCAGCTATAGAAAAATGTGAGCCACAGCACCCCAACTAAGGAGAAAGGCATATATAAAAATGTCCTAGGTAGGAAAATGCTGTGTGTTGTCAAGTTAACACAAAGGCCAGTGTGGCCAGAATGACAAAAGGAAAAGTGATGTGAAATGAGGAAGGCACGGTGTTATCTGACAGATAATGGGAAAGTGCTACAGGGATTTAAGGAAGGGAGCGATCTGATTTGTCTAAGATAAAAAAATTCCCTCTGGCTACTGTCTGGAGACTAAAAATCCTCTGAGTACTTGTTGGGAGACAAGCAGAGGACCAATTAGGAGGCTAACTGCCAAGTGTTGACAAGAGACAGTCATGGCTAGGCCTGAGAATTGGAGGCAATGGGGACGCAGAACTCACCATTTGGGATTTTGAAGCTAAAAATGTGACTTACTGATTAAGTTATTCCTTTTACCTTCTAAACAGCCAATCTCATATTAAAGCTGTCAATGAAGTAGACCTAAAATGAAGATCCTAAAATGTCATAAAAGGTCTTACCCTGAGTTTCATATGGCTCTGGGCTCAGCTCCTAAAAACTACCTTGAGTCCAACAATTTCCTAGGTACAATTCTGCTGTCACCCTCCTTTGAGTGGACTTAGAGAAGTGACTGCTGAAAAATGACAAGAAAGCAGCAGTGTTGGGTCCAAAATACATTCTGAATTTTTTTATTTACAAGAGCCAAGGTCTCCCTCTCTTGTCCAGGCTGGAGTGCAGTGGACCGATCATAGGTCACTGCAGTCTCAAACTCTTGGGCAGAAGCAATTATGCCACCAAGGCCTCCCAAATAACTTCTAGTTTCAATAAACGTTACTTCTTAAATTGTTTTCGGTTATTTTACATTGCACTAAATGAGAAGGCTTTTTGCTAGCAACATCTCCTATTCCATCTAAGAAATACTGCATTCACCCCTTCACTCCAAATAATCTAGTGCAAAATTCCTTCAAAATAATTCATCCTCTTTAAAAGATGGGTTGCCTTTCACCTACTTAAATGTTGTACATTCTGGGATGCCTTTCCCGCCGTGCAGACAAATGCTCTCATTCATTGTGCAACCCGAGTCCCGGGATTCTCTGCAGCGTACATTTCCTGCAGGGAGCTGCTGCATGGGGCCCCCCGTGCGGATCCGAAGGTTTTTGTTTCCCTCTGTACTATTAAAGCGCTCGAGCACATTGTTACAGAATAGATGAATGACCAGAAACTTTTTTTTTTTTTTGGTTGGTAACCTTTAGTCCACTGTCCAGTAAACTTCTGAAAAGAACTAAACTCAGCCTCTGATGCAAAAAGAGCAATCCACGGGTAAACAGCGGAAACAGGGATACATTTCCCAAACCTGCCGCTCCGTGGGCACATTTAAGTTTTTCTCAGAGCGACGCTAAGGAGCGCCCTCCTGATCGCGGCTGTCAGTCCCACAGCAGCCGGGGTTCCAGTGTGCTACAGGCGTTGGTGGGGGGCACCGCGCGGGGGGGCCCCCGGGGTCGGCCGAGCCGAGCCGAGCCGAGCCGGGCCTCTGGGCGGCGACGCTCAGGCCCGAACGCGTTCGATGGTTTCCGCCCGGCAGCCGGGGCCCGCGCGGTCCAGTCGCCAGGGGGCGCGCTGGCCGGCGCCGCGGATCTCGGAGCTGCGCGGCCCGATTGGTGTCCGCCATATTGGATGCCGCAGCCGCTGCTGCCAGCGCTTCTTCCTCTGTCTTCGCCTTGCGCGGCTGGTTCCTGCGGCCCGAGCGGCGGGGAGGTGAAACAGGAGGCTGTCGGAGGAAGAGGAAGAAGGGGGTGGAGAGTCTAGGGGACGGGGCTCAAGGGTAGGGGACCGAGACAAGAGGGGCAGAGAAGAGAAGGCGCCGCGGCCCAGCCCCTCCCCCGCCTGCTGCCCACCCGCCCCGGCAGCGCCTCTTTTCCCCGGAACGGCGCTCCGCCCGCCCTAGCAGCCATGCCAGGGCCTCGCTGCCGCTGACGGGGTCCTTCCTCGCCAGTGCTGGCCCTTCCACTCCCGCCCCGGGGTCGCAGCGGGCAGCCCTCCCGCCGGCACCCCCTCCTCGCGGCCACGCCGCCGCCCCCGTCTCGCTCTCCCCACCCAGTGCAGTGGCCGCCGCCTCTTCCGCCGCCGGGCTCGGAGCCTCTGCAGCGACAACATGGAGGCCGTGAAAACCTTCAATAGCGAGGTTGGTATCGCAGCTGGCCAGTGCGGCTGCCCGCACTGCCCCTGCCCCGGGACGAGGCCTGAGCGGGAGGGTGGGCGCGGGCCTGCAGGCTTTGCCCGGGTGGGCCGAGCGGCGGCCTAGCCGTGTCCGTGGGGGAGGGGGTTGTCGCTCTGCCCGGGCGCCCCTCCCCCGAGTCCGGGAGGAGGGTTGGGGGAGGGCCGCCCCGGGGCGGAGGGAGGTTCCGGCCTCTCCGCGCCCCGTGGACTGGCTGCGGGCTGCGAGGCCAGGCTGGGCCGGGCCCTCCCCCGGAGACTCCGGGCGGGCCTCTCGGGTCAGTTCCGCCGAGCTCGGGCCCGCCCACCTCCTTCCTGGGCCTTGGAGATTTTCAATAGACGCTGGACATCACTCTCGGGGGCCCTTGATGGGACAGGCACCGATTGGGGACTGTGGCGGAAAAGAACCTACGGGGTGGTGATCTGTAGTCACGTTACACACTGTTTATAATTGAGACACTGTTGACTAGGTAACCTGCCAGCTAGGGACTTAAGCTAATAGGATGGTTGGTAGGCAGGCAGGCAAGGTTATTCTGCGATTTCTTCTTTTTTTTACTTGACTCACATCTCATCCATCACGACATAAAAGACAATTGGTAGGTAGAGAACTGTACGTGGAGAGAAGGAAGATTCTGGGGAAACAATTCTCACAGGCTCGTTCACGTGTCTAACACAAGACTTTTAAAAAGTAGGTGTCCAGTTTTTGCGGTTTAATTGAATTTGTTAGTCTGCAGGAAGACAGGTTTCGATAGGATATATTCAATTTCATTTTAAAACAACTACTTTAATAGACCTGATGCAAACCTTGGACAAACAACAAATACATATCTGCACAACCAGCGTAATTATTCTTAACTATACACCTTAGAAAAAAATGCTTAAATGTGATGGTAACTAAATTAGCAAAAATTATATTGCTTCCAAAAATTTTTTTGAAAGTCCTAGTACTTCATGTGCGATTGTTAAATATTTTTAAGATTCACCTCTTAAAATAGTCTTTTTGCTGTAATAGCCAACTAGGACAATCCTGTACATGTTCTATAATTTTATCTTGTTTCATATTTTTCAAGAATTAGCGTTTTGAAGCTTAGCAAAGAGGCCAAAAGGTAGATAACACAAGTGAATTGAGCTTTGTGTTAAGAGTAGATAGCGGTGTTGCAGTATAAACTTTGGGAAAGGATTTTGTTTCTTAATGCTAGATTTTTTTTTAACAACTTCTCAAATAGAGTGATAGCCTTGGGAATTCTTCATTTTATTTATGAATTTATAGTAGATAATTTGGGGCAGATATCTGCATTTATAAAATTTGGTTCTACTGCACAATACTCTAGTACTTAATATGAAAAGAATTTAGCGATACTGTTGTGCCAATTTATTGTTAATAGTTTAATAACTGCAGGAAAAAGATCTATAGCTTTTTTTTTCTTTTTTGCTACATGTAGAGCTATAGTACTAATTAGTGTTAAAGTTTTAAAAATTCTTTTAAAAAATCCTGTATCTTCCATTACAATTACGGTATTAGATTTAATCCCTTCCTCCATTTTGATGGGTACCACTTCTTTTTATTTAGGGTGTTCCTTACAGGTGAACCCCCCACGTTTTAAACGGGAGTCTTGGTTGGTGCACTATGGTTGGTCACAGCAGAGGACAGTGTAGCTGGAGTGTTACTGTCCGTTTTTCATTTTAGTATTGATGAAAGATAAGAGGTCTAATATTTACATGTTCTCTTCTCATCTTTATAGTATCTTGAAATTTGTGGCAGTATGTTTTAGTGAATGTAGCACTGTCTCCTTTTGTCCTGTGGATTTCAAAGTATTTACAAGTCTTTTAACTTCCTTATTTACTGATAGGCTCTCTGTCATCACCATGTTTGAAAGTAGAGTTAGCTTAAACATATCAGTACAGAGTAAAGAGGATGGACGAAAGGGAATACATTTAGAAAATATATATATGGCTCGGCACCTGTGGCTCAAGTGGCTACGGCACCAGCCACATACACCTAAGGTGACGGGTTCGAATCCAGCCTGGACCCGCCAAACAACAATGACGGCTGCAATGAAAAAATAGCCCCACGTTGTGGCGGGTGCCTGTAGTCTCAGCTACTTGGGAGGCTGAGGCAGGAGACTTGCTTGAGCCCAGGAGTTGGAGGTTGCTGTGAGCTGTGAAGCCATGGCACTCTACCCAGGGGGATAGCTTGAGGCTCTGTCTCAAAAAAAAGAAAATATAGATACAATCTTTTTAAAAATTTTGGATATAGTTTTCTGTGACTGTTAAAATACTTGCCATTATAGTAAATGTTTTGTTACTGTAGTAAGCATATACTGGGAAGTAGTTCAATAATGACTTTTTTCGACTAAATCATGTGTTGCAAAGTACAGAAAAAAAAGAATTCGGAGTTACAGGATTTGGAGAAAAGGGTATTTTAGAATGCTTGCTTACAGTGAATTTTTCTTTCCTTGTGAGACAGAATCTCACTCAGTTGCGCTAGGCTAGAGTGCCTTCGTGTTAGCCTAGCTCACAGCAACCTCAGACTCCTGGATTCCAGTGATCCTCCTGCCTCAGCCTCCCCAGTGGCTGGGACTACAGGTGCTCACTACAATGCCCAGCTAATTTTTTCTGTTTAAGTAGAGCCAAGGTTTTGCTTTTGCTTAGACTGGTCTCAAAATCTTGTGCTCAAGGGATTCTCCTGCCTCCGTCCTTCCGGGTACTAGGATTACAGACAGGTGCGAGCTACTGTGCCCAATCTGAATTTGGCTTTTAAAGACTTTTACCATTGGGTTTACTCCATCAGAACTTTATTTGCTAAATTTAAAGGTATCTTTGAAGTGTTGAGTTGTCAAGAAATTCCATTTGCTTTGTAACGCATCAAAATTTAGCTCTGCAAGTAGGTTTGTCAATAAGATATTTTGATATTCTGAAATGTTTAAAGCTTGAAATACGTAGCTTTTATGAATTGCCATCTCTCAGACTTTTAAAGACTGAACTCTCCTATTCCTATTTTTTTGAATTTTGCAAAGAACATTGACTTGGAAATAGGAATGTGCCAGAGATTTTAAAGTTAAGACTATAGATTTTTGTTGGGTATGCTCAGGAGGAAGGAGGATCCTTGAGCAAGAGTTTGAGGCTGCAGTGAAGTATGATCATGAGCGTGATTAGCCACCATACTCTAGCTTAGACAACATAATGAAACTCTCTTAAACAAAAAAAGAATATAGATTTTTAATCTGCAAACTCTGGATAAGTGTCAGTCTCTGAAAATCCCTGAGTTTGTGCAGGATATGTATGAATGGTTTTTGTTATGTCTCCCCCCACCATAATTTCTCAAATGGGGTTTGTGACCTCTCGTGTTAAAAATTGCTGTCAGAAGATCTTTTAATTGTGCAGCAATTATTTGGTAAATTCCTCTTAGTTATCATGAATTAGATTTAGGCTTGAGTTCATTTTTAAGTGCCTAAGGTGCTAATTTTGTGGAGAAACCATAATTTCCAGTTAAGCATCATTACTGTGATGAAAGTTTAATCCAAGACCGCTATTTTCAATTTTGAAATGATGGAAGATTCTAGTTTGTTCAGATTGGAATAAGATTCCCTAAGAGTCAGTACTTGACCTGAGTAGCTAAACTATTAGCTTAGGAGAAGTATCATTGCTAGCTATTTTCAAAATGGTGGCATTTTCCTTATTAAAATAATTTAGAGTTCTCAACTAGTGAAACGGGTCTGATATTGGACAGCTTAAATCTGTGGCCCACTTTAGGACTGCATTGATTGCTGGAATGCAGCGGTTGTATGTGACTAGCATATTTATATTCTGTACTTAAGAATGATTACTATATGGAGGTCATCCTGGTCTGGTGCCTCTAATTTTTTTTTTTTTTTTTTTTTTTTTGAAAAGGGCTGAAGGAGAGAATGGCAGTGTATGGTTTTGGAAAATTTCAACTTGATCAGAGAGGGTGTTAAAGAAATAAATGAGAAATATCAGAACCTGTTAGCATCAGTTACATTTAGATAAAGTAAACTGGAAGAGATGAGTTTTGTTTATTGGATTTTTCTAATTTTTAAGGACTTCATTTTTTCTTTTTAAAGAAAGAAACATAGTTCCAAGACTGTTACCATACTTCAGAAAAGCTAGCAGTAAATGTTTAAATCAAGTATCAGTGAGTGATCCATTTTGGGGGGTCGTTTGTATAGCTAGTTGCATTCCTGTCATGATCCATTTCTTTTGCTGCTCTGAGTAGGCTGAGTGGGGAGGTGTAGGTTTGAGATGTGTCAGGAAAATGATTTCATTTTAATTGCTGGATTTGCCTAGGTTTGTAAATTCTGACAGGATTCATTTACCATTTATTATTTTTAGGATACCTAAGTCCTTAGTGTTTTTGTCTGTTTTAAGAGTCCTTTGAGTAGATAGCTTAGTCTTTACACTGTTCCCGGATGTAGACTTTTATGAACCTGGTATAGCTTCCAGTTTTACAAAATGAAAAATCTCATCTCCTTTTTAGTTTATTTCCAGTTTTTGTATCAAGTGGGCATTTTGTCTAGCTATAGCCTTTTAACAATCCTACCACCAATATCTAATAGTAGACCTGGCTTGGTAGAGAGAAGTCGGAAAGGTAGAGGGAATAAAAAAGCATGTGAAATTGGTTTTTAGTTGGTGTATTTTACACTTGTCTGTGGTTCAGGAAAGGGAATTTATGTGAAACAGCTATAAAACATTGCATTTGTCTTCTATTTCCTCCTTCTTCTTCTTTTCTTTTCTTTTTTTTTTTTTTTGGCTGGGGCCAGGTTTTGAACCCGCCAGCTCTGGTTTATGGGGCTGGCACCATACTCCTTGAGCCACAGGTGCCACCCCTTATCTTCCATTTTCTTCTACCAGGGAATCTGCCATCTTTTTCTTTACTGTTTTCATTTTCTACTGGGAGTTCTGGTTAATTTAATCAGTCAGTCCATATGTTTTGTTTCTACCTTGTGAAAATTCTTTAAAGATGTAGTGTCTTCACTAATGTCCCCATCCCTCAGTGGTTTAGATAAGGGTTCCTTAGCCTTGGCACTGTTGATATTTTGTGATGGGTAATTATTTGCTTGGTTAGTGGTCCTGTACATTGTAGGATGTTTAACAGT